TATATGCATTAAATGACTAGAAAGAAATAGGATTATGTGTAATCTCTATTTTCTACAAAGAACACAAACAACTACTAAAATAAAAATGACCAACCTAACATTTTGAGTATTATTAGAGAAAAGCCTTTGAAAACTATATGAATGGTACTAAACAATAGTTATCTGAACCCAACCAAGATAAAGCACAATCCAAAAAAATCACAGAACCAGTATCTTTCGATTTGTTTTTTTAAGGTTGTTCTGGGGCACTTTTTTGGATAAATATTCTTATAATTCACAAAATACTTCTTTCCATGAAATGTAACTCTTGCTGAATAAGCCCAGAGTCATCCAATAACCCATCTTACAAGAACCACTGACCATCTTACTTGCATAAAGCACTTCATTTTTACTATATTACTTGTAAATATATTAACTTGTTACAATATTTGTCTTCTGAATCCTCCATTAAATTATATTATGCTACTGGTTTACTAAAAATTCAAGGGGATATAAAGATTTTTTTCAATAAAAACAAACTATTGGGCCTGGTGGCACACACCTATAATCCCAGCACTCAGGAGCCTGGGGCAGGAGGATCACCATGAGTACAAGCCATCCTGAACTACATAGTAAGACCTTGTCTCATTTTTTAAGTAATTAATTTAAAAAATAAAAATAAAAACAAACACCATGGTGCCTTTCCTTGAGGACAACTAAATCTAAATAAATCCTTAAGGTAGTCAGGCAAGAGAAATCAGTTAAACAAGAAAGTATTTATATAACTTTCAGACTAGAATAATTTATTATGATTTAAATACTATTAATATATAACATTTGAAAAGATGTAACAATCACTGATAGTAATTACAGATCTCTTACAAGCCCAGTTTACACATCACCAAATAATATATAATTCTATGACCATTTGAATTTGAACATTTCAGAACTCTTATTAATGAGTACATTCAACTTGGAATGAATCATGGTACATATATCCTGATATCCAAGAGAACCAGCCACATAGCTCCTTGAGTTAATGGTACTGCCCACTGAATGTGAAGGGCTCTTGCATAAATGATATCTTTGTGTTATTGATTTGAATTCTGATGTCTGTATGTCAACAAATTTTTTTTTTTCTCTTCTAGCCATGGGATGTCTTACCCAATTTCAGGATTAGTGAAAACATATAAAGCAAAGGACTACAATGTGGATCACCCACTAGTGGTAACAAATAATAATATATTAATTAAATCTTATATACCTCTAATTTCCATAAGTACCTTTGTCAATTTTCGCCCCAGGGCCTAGAGCTTTGTCCATATTAGTCAAATGCTCTACCACTGAGTTACAGCCCAGCCCACAGTTAATGTTTGTGCTGGATATAACAGCTCATTCCTCTAATCCCAGCACTTGGAGGTTGAGGCAGGAGGATCACTGTGAGTTCTGGGCCAGCCTTGGGGACATAAGGAATCCAAGGCCAGGCTGAACTGCACAGGAAGACCCTGTCTCAGTGACTTCTTGACTACAGGATAAAGTACTAACAGAGTACTCAGGAGGAAGAACAACTTTGCTATCTATCTCTCTGCAGCCTCATGGCCTTTCTGTGGTGCTCACATCCCCAGCAGTGTTCACATTCACGGCAAAGATGTTTCCAGAACGGCACTTAGAGACGGCAGAAATATTGGGTATGAACCGTTACTCAGAAATCTGTGATGTGCACAGGTGGAGTGTTTCCTACAACTGTTTCTAAAACTAATCGTAGGGGCCAGGGAGATGGCTCAGTAGAATAAGTGCTTCCCTGGCAAGCGCAAGGGCCTGAGTTCAATCCCTGGTTCCACTAAAAAAAATAAATAAATGAATAAAATAAAACTAACCATAAGAAATTATACCAAAAAATGTTCCTCTGGGTAGCCTAATGATAATGTGTCAGTGAACTGCACAAAGTCCTAGCTGCCTCTAAAATACTATAATTTTATGTTTTAAGTCAGTTAATGAAGCAGAAGCAAATGTTGATTCTATTAAATTTCTGGCCATACTATTTCCTCTGTTTGTATTACAAAGAAATTGTGTATACTGTTGTGTTCAGGAAGGAGTGAATTCACTACCATAGAGAATCTAAACAAAAATTTTCATTTAAAAAAGATTCCAAATAAGCAATCTGTCTGCCATACTGTAAAATAAATAATGCCCATGGTAAGATACAGTGCCTTTTGAATCTTACCAGAAATAAAATTACCTTCCAGGTCACTATAGTGGGAAGTGAAATGTTGGTGTTTTTCTGAAATGAGAATTTTTTTGAGTAGACTTGGATAATTAATTAATTTGCAACACATCTTATTCCCTAGCTTTGTTCAGTATAGGAAGCGCAAGGAGCTAGGGAGATGGCTCTGTGGAAAAAGTTCTTCCCTGGCAAGTGCAAGGGCCTGAGTTCAGTCCCCAGTTCCGCAAAAAAAAAAGAAAGAAAAGAAAAAGAAAGAAAGGATAGGAAGCAAAAGCCTCAGAAGAAAACTATTATGCTTGCCTAGCTCTAGTAATTGGAAAGACTATTTCCAAGGAGGTAGGGACAACTGGACCGCAGATCTGTAAGCGCTGATTCCACCAAGCTTTACCTTCACATGCGCCATCTATGCACCCGCGCCCGTCCAGGTGCTGGGCCTGCAGCTTTAATGTCCTCAGCCCGGCACCAAGTGAGCCCAGCTTGAGTCCCCAGCATTTACTGCCACTTGTTGCAACAAGGATGTTGTGTCCCTTTTCCTTTTTGGAGGGGAGATGTGGTTCAGCTTTATTTTGGGATGCAATTGACTTTGTAGATATGCAAACTATGTAAATGGAGTAAGAGGGGCAAATCTTAGGTGATATTTATGGTAAATGAAAAAAATCTTATATAACTCACATAAAATTTGTATCCCAGGCAACCATCACCATAACTAAGAAAGCAGTTTTTGCCCAGGAGATGGCTCAGCAGCATAAGTGCCTACCTGGCAAGCTCAAGGTCCTAAGTTTGATCCCCAGTACCCACCCCAAGAAAAGACTCTGTCTTAAGAAAGCATTTCTTATGTTAAACAAAATCCAAGGTGGAAGAACTAACTGGTTCTTTTCTTGTGTAGAAAATTTTAATGTTACCTCATAGTTCATCATTAAATACAGTATTTTAATTCTATATGTAACTTAGATTTTCTTAACTTTAGGCCAATAAATTCTTTCCTATCACCTTTTTTCTTCCAAACAAATACTTTATAGAAAACTTAGAAAAAAAAAAAAAAAAGACAAAAATAAGGGGCTGGGGAGATGGCTCAGTGGAATAAGCGCGTCCCTGGCAAGCGCAAGGGCCTGAGTTCAATCCCCGGTTCTGCCAAAAAAAAAAAAGAAAACCTAGAGTTCCTGAGGAAAGGAGAAAACAAAGAAGGAAGGGAAAAAGAAATATATATGTATATACACAGTATAGCTTGGATAATTATACTGCTGGTTATAT